TGGGGAGAGTTCCTGGAGGAGTTCCTGAGTGGAAATGGTAAGGATGGATGTCTTCTGCTGCGGTCACAGTGGGCCACTTTGATGGCCACTGAAGCATCTCACTCCACTCCAATCTTGTAGCCAGAAAGAGAAGACTGCAGTAGAGATTTCTAGCTATAAGCACACTGCAGAGATTCTTTTCCTTGTAATCTCCTGACTTTCTTGATGGAATCCATGGAATGGTGCATTTGTCAGAGTTGTGAAAGTGGCCTTGTGGTCTGTCTGTCTGTCTGTCCATATGTCTTTCTGTCCATCCGTATATTTATAAGGTATCTATTTAAGTCCTTCTGCACCCAAGGTCACAAGACTGTGTGCAAGGGTCTGTCCCGTGTCTCCTCATATTAGAGGAGAGAGCAGCACGAAGCGTTTCCCGCTGGGGCAGCAGGTGGCCCACCAGAGGTGGGATGAAGGACTCCCTGGAGGGGGAGCAGTCTTTCGAGTCCCTGCAACCAGCTGCCCCTCTGAGACAAAGAGGGCATTGGGTGAACAAGTTCTACACTCAAGAGTGCAAAGCAGGCTGTTTTGATCTCTCTGTGTGTGCTTGAGTGCTTGCATAGTGGGGGAAATCCACACTGCTTCTGAACAGGACAGAAAAGTCAGAAAGAACAGCCACATCATCCTGAGCACAACAGGAGGAAGTGGAGCCTGGAAAGCTGGAGCAAGTTAGGAGAAGATACAGCTTATGCCCCCCTCCAGATAGCAGCAATACAGAGAACCACGCTAATAGAAAGAAACTGAGAGAATCCAAAGGGGCATCCTGGGCCATCTCCTCTGACCCTGATCTCCAGTGGCCTCTGCTCATGACATGCCTACCATGTGGATGCCCAGCCTAGAATCTTGGTTCCCTGAGGATTGCTCCACTGGGACTCATGGTGCCCTCAACTGCAGATGTCGTGAGGTCATAACTCACACCTCCAATTAACTCACACAGCGGCCGGCCACTGTAAACTCCTCCTACATTGGGTGTCTGCCAAATTCACCGTTAGGTCTTCTTGATCTCTTGGACTCTGCCCAGCAGATTCAGAGTCAGGAGGCAGCGGGGGGGGGGGGGGGACAACCACCTCAGAGTCAGGATGAGGAGAAGCCTCATCATTATGTTGTAGGGTGTCTATTTGCTCAGCGGTCCCAGAGGGGCCGTTTGGTCACTGGGCCCCAAGTATAAGACCCCTTGTTCCAATGTCTGATTCTCATTGTGAACATTTGGCTCTTCCTTGCGAGTCGGCATCTCTGTTGAGCCGTCAGGCATGACAGCAGGGGAGAAAAGGTCATGACCCACCTCTGCATGGCTCCCCCTCACATACCTGCATGTTCCCGACAGCCACTGCGCAGACGAGTTACCTTTCTATGAGGCAAAAGCAGATGCTTGCAGCAGGGCATCTGGGAGGGCTTCAGCTCTTCCCGCATTCTCTGGGGCAGACACAGGTGAGCCAAGCTTGCCGTACTCTGCGTGCAGAAGCTTGTGTGAAGGCGCTTTTGTGTGTCCAAGAAACAGCCACGGCTCTGCCCAGAATCCAGTGACATTCCCACCATGAGTGAAAAGCAGCACACAGCTTGATCCTGAAGCTGCTGCATCTCCACTTTCTCAGACAGGAAATTCTCTCTCTCTCTCTCTCTCTCTCTCTCTCTCTCACACACACACACACATACAAGCTCACACCTACAAACAGTCCCAAAACAAACTCACTCCCTGGCTGAGTTCACAGAACCCAAGCACCTCTGTGGGGTTGCTATGTTTCACAGTATCCCATTAGACGGAAAACCAACTGGCTTCCTCAAAATCATGGTCTCCGCCTTGCCTGCTCAGCCCCTCTGCAGGTCCCGCTCTTGCTTCAGCCGCCATGCCTGAAATTCAGTTCGCGGTTGGATGGCTGGAGCAGGTCACACAGCCGCCGCCGCTCTTCCCAGGGACTCCATGGGAGCTGCATATGAGCACTGTGGAAGCCACGGCGCTGGGTTTGTATGATGGAAGAAACCGCAGAGGAGCAGCGATGCTGAAGAACATTCGGTTGTTCCTTACCAGGATGCCAGGATATGCCTCATGCACATTGGCCCAGTGCTTCCCTGATTTCTCCCAACCTTCCCCAAAAGATGGCCTCCTTTTCTGCTCTACCAGCTTTTATTCTTCTGCTCTGAGTGCTGTCCTCATGCAAGGACGGGCTATTTTTCTGCCCACGCTCTGATTCCTCTCCTGTTGTCCAGGGGTTTCTTTAAACAGCTGTCCTGCATGGCAAGTACATCCCTCATTACTCAAGGGGGACAGATGTGGGGACCTTCCCATGAATGGATCCCCATCAGAGGAGTGTGGGACTAGCTGAGAAACGTGGGGAGCTTGAAGGGTGGTTCCTCCTTTGCACTGCTGTGGTTCATCTTGCCCGTCCCCACTGTGGGCAGGGACTTCAAACCTCCTGTCCCAGAACCACCTGCATCCTCTCAGCGGCTTACTCTTGTGTCTTGGCTTTGCTCTTGCAGTGCTGTTCGGTTCCTGGTTCGACCATGTGAAAAGCTGGATTGGAGTAAAGGACAGACCCAATGTCTACTTTGTCTCTTACGAAGAGCTCCAGCAGGTATGGCTTGAACTTTCCGTATATTCAAGTACCAGTAGATACCTTTCTGAGCAGCAAAGGGATCGTTCCCTGCATTTATTTTCAATGAAGACACAGCAATTAAGGAGAA